GCCCCGTCCCCCCCGATGTACTATTCACATGCTATGCACTTCCATGGTGAGATTGCCTTCGTAAAGTGTTGTATGTACATCATCACAATTGGTTCTAGTGCTCCCTCCCCACCTCCATTCACTGTTTGCTCCCCAAATCCCTTCACCCTCCCTGAGCCTCCCCCACACTGCCCCGCCGTACATTCCCGATAAACCATTGCCTCAGTTATTGTCTCTGTGCATCCACTCCTCTGTGCTTCACAGACTGGGAGACACGACAGAAACAATAAGAAACAAAACAAAAACAAAATGGCAAGAAGAAAATAATACAAAGACATCTTTGCCTTTTAAAGTAAGTTCTTTAGCAGAGAATTTGCCCAATGCAAATGTTTGTTTATTTCTCAGTTACTGTTCCATGGATGTCGATTGCAGGTCAAAGTAAAATGAAATCCTAGACAATGTTCATCTTTTCTCCATTTACCATAATGTTGCTTATTGATCCTGTTAGGATTTTTTTCTTTATGTGAAGATGGAATCCTACCGAAGGCTGTAGTGATTGATCTTCATCAGTAAGTGCTTCAGGTTCTCTTCCATGGAAGGAAATGAGATTGTATAATCTGCATAGCACAGTTTGTGGAAGAGCCTCCCTCCAATCCTGATGCAGTGTGCTCCTTCCTGTAGGCCAGCTTCTTGGATCATTTGCTCAGCAAACAGAATCCATAAATAAGGCGAAGGACTACGAACTAGATGCACACCTTTCCTGAAACTTTTTAGTACCCCTGGTCTTGTTTTCTACTGTTTTTCAGTCTGGGCTTAGGTTCTACAGGAGCACCATTAAGTATGCTCAAATTCTCATTCTTCAGAATGCAATTCATACTTTAAAAAAAAATCATTTTATTAGAGGCTCATACATCTCTTATCACAATGCGTACATACATCAATTGTATAAAGCACATTTGTACATTCATTGCCCTCATCATTCTCAAAACATTTGCTCTCCACATAAGCCCCTGGCATCAGCTCCTCATTTTCCCCCCTCCTTCCCTCCGTACTCCCCTTTCCCTCATGAACCCTTGATAATTTTTAAATTATTATTTTGTCATATCTTACACTGTCTGACATCTCCCTTTACCCACTTTTCTGTTGTCTATCCCCCAGGGAGGAGGTTATATATAAATCCTTATCATCGATTCCCCCTCTCTACCCTACCTTCCCTCTACCTTCCTGGTATCACCACTCTCACCACTGGTCAGTCCATACTTTCTTAAGACCCACACAGACAAACGCCTTTGCTTGGTCAGTAAAACACTGGGAACATCTTCCTTGATGTACACTTTCAGCCAAGCTCCAGCTATAATATGTGTTATGGCATAACACTTTGCCAGTTCAAGATTTCTCCTGGATTTCATTGGGTGATACTTACGTACATCAGTCCTGTGCAGCCATCAGCGATACCCATTTTCAAATTTTTCATCCTCATCAGCACTCAGTGCTTTGGATGTTCATTTCTGCACTTCAAGTTAATTCATTTACTTGCATAAATATTTGGTGATAATTCTTCCGTTAAGGGTATGCAACTGAAAATACACAAAAAGCATTCACATTTTACAAGTTTGAGTATCTACCTGTAATAGACTCTAACCTAATCTCACACCAGCCCTTCAACTATAAACAAAAATATAACTTATAAACTTGCTAATTGTTTTCCCTATTACATGGCACCATTATAGTCTTGAATGCCAGTTGATTCCCACTCTGCGTGTCTCACTAATTGCCCACATCTAACGGAAAACCTAGTAAAGCACAATGAACCAACTACAGGAGCCTTGCAGGTCTTCATGGGGTGGGGCATGGCTAGGGTGCTAAGCCTGCAGTTTCGTGAGGCCCTCTCCCTCTGCATGAATAATGTGCAGGCACTGTGTCCATGCCCCCCCCCTCACTGAGTTGTTTCTCCTGGAAGTGTGATGAATTTTTAAAATATGAAGTAAATACCCTCTGAGTCTACCTGGATAACCTCAAGCCTGTTGGGCCTTGGTCCACCCCAGAGCCTTTCTCAGTAGGCATGAGACAGATGTTTGTGACTTGAAGGTACTAGAAGGGAGGGAGGTCTGAATAGCAGTTCACATGTTCAGAAGAGTCAGTGACTTTGAATTCATAACTAAGACAAATTTGTAGAAATATCAAAGTGGCTGCTTGTCCAATGGTTCAAAGGTTTATAGTGAGATTGTACTGCATATAGAGCCCATATATGTAGCTATGCTCTTTATGTTTTGGAGTACTGTATATTATTTATTTACATTTGTATATGGTACTTGAGTGTCTAAATGAATAGTTTTATTAGCCAATGGAAATTTTTAACTTTTTGTCCCATCAGTGGGAGATGCACTGGTCATAAGTAATCTGACATATATTGAGTAGCTTCCCACCACATCAGTCTGACCACATGGTCAGGTCCTACAAATGCCAGGCATTAATTCAGCTTCCTTTTAAAGGGCTTAAGCAGTTATGGTTTGGGGTTTACTTTGTGCCATGTACATTTGAATGTTTCTGGTTTTGTTTTTAAGTGAAATGTTAGAATAGTCCTATTTTGGGTTTCGTCTACCCAATGCCATTGAATCAACTCTGACTCATGCTGACCCTGGGAAGAATTTTATTAGGTAGTGCTTATTGAGTTATTATCTAAATATAGTCTTTATGCAATCAAAAATCAGTATTTCCTGACTCAACCTCGGAGGCTTCTTTTTGTTGATTTTTTAATTTTAATTCATGAATCAACCTCAAACCAAACCCACTGCCACCAAGTCCATTCAGAGCAGCTCTATGGAGGGCTTCCAAAACTATAAATCTTGAGGGCAGACAGCCTCATCTTTCTCCTGCAGAGAAGGGTGGTGGGTTTGAACTGCCAATCTTGCATTTAACAATTCCCCACTAAACCCATTGCACCCTCAGGGCTTCTTGTTTTATTGCTGGAAAATGTAAGAGACCAGTAGCTGGAAATGTAAAAGTCTTCTCACCTGCAGTGTGGCAACGTTTCTCTAGGTACACAGACATACTGCACTTGCAGCAAATGCCCAGTCGCAGCAGAGCATCCACACCACCACTCTGGCTCGAGCAAAAGGGGAGATTCTGAGAGTCGTTGAAATTCTCATTGAAAAGATGCCCGCAGACGTGGTGGATCTCCTCGTGGAGGTGAGTCGGTCTGTTTTCAGTGTTGCTTCACCAGGCCTGCCTATACCGGTTTGGTAAGGTGAACTGGCATGTGTGTTTCTCGTATGTCTGAAGGAGGGACTGAGGGAAGGGAGGGCGTGAGAGGGAGGGAGGGAATGACTGTATGTGAGTGAGTAGCAATAAAAACGAACAAACTTTTCTCCCAAAATGTCCTCAAAGTTCAAAATGCTTGGTTACCCCTTCCACAATAAAACAGAGGCACCGCCAAAAAAAAAAAAAAAAAAGTTCAAAATGCTTGTTATGTCCCTGCACTATCCACAAGCAATTGGTTTATGTGAGCATAGTTTTTAAAGAATAATTTTATGCTTACATATGTGCTGCCAATATTGTACATAAATATTAATTACCTTAAAAGCAAATAATTCTGTCTTCTTACTGTACCATACCATATCATAAATTTTGTTATTTAAAAGGATAGTCTATAGTATATAAGGTGCTTTTAAATTTTTGTTCTGTCTGAAAGTAAACATTAAAACAACGCTGTCTAGACTTGTCCTGGGCACAGGAGGCCTGCATTATGAATGTAGATTTCAGAAAAGTACGTATTTGAGCTCGTTTTGACTTGTGTCGTCTTTTGTGATAGGTCATGGACATCATCATGTACTGCCTTGAAGGCTCTCTGGTCAAAAAGAAAGGTCTTCAGGAGTGCTTCCCAGCCATCTGCAGGTAAGGAACCCCGCCCCCCAGCGTGCACAGGAACCACTTGAGGAACAGATCATTTAAAAATGTCCCTCTCTTTGCCTGTGGTTACTTCGTTTCTTACTCAATTACTATTCCTTACTGTTTCGATTATTTGTTAGTTTTTGCCTGCTTCCTTTCTAAAGCCATTTCGACATACTAGTCAGCTGTTTAAAATTGGGTCATGATAACATTTTGCTTAACACTTAAAATAAATGAATGAGAGATAGCATCCGTTGAATATGCCTGCCATCATCTCCTGCCCATGACTCAAATTCATGGTAGTGGAAGTTTCTAACTTAGCGGAGAAGAGGACCTTTTCACCAACAGTACCCTTTGCACACCTTTTCACCAGTCTGAGTTAAAAAAAAGGAAGTCACTGTATGCTTTCTGCCCTCCTGAATATTGATATGTACCTTATGTGTAAAGATGAGGAAAACAAAGAGTAGTCCAACAGTTTAGAACCGATGTAGTGTATTGGATCACTGATGGGGCCATGGGCTACTTGTTGGGTTGATAACCACAAGGTCAGCAGTTTGAAAGCATAATATTGCTTGGGAGAAAGATGAAAGATGAAGCTTTCTATTCTTGTAAAAATTAACTAAAGGGGAAGCTCCCCCCACCCCCACCCCCCAAAGTAGTTTAAAGTCCACTGCTCGCACTGGTTTTAGTTTGAGGCACATTGTGATTTTAAGGATTTTTCTCTTCCTTGTAGTCCAAAACGAACCATGGTGGTGGGTGATGGTGATGCATTTGGGCTGCCATCCACAAGGTCAAAACCACCCGAGAAGGTACAGTCTCTGAAAGCCACAGGGGAAGTTCTTCCCTGCCCTATAGGGATGGCCTGACTCTATGGCAGTGTGTGTTTAAAAGAGTGTTTCATGGAAACACAGCAGGCATTTTCTCACGGCTCATAGCATGCAGACGAGGTTCTGGTTTGAGGGGTTTGCAGACTCTCAGGCACACGTTGTTAGGAGGCCACACAACAGAACATGAAACCGGGTACGTCCCTGGTACGTCCGTGGCTTGTTCTGACTGAGATCGGAGGAGACAGCTCACTAGAAAGGGAACGTGTAAAAGTGTCTCCCGTCTGGAGTGCCTGCTCCCTGTCAGGTACTCTGGGAAGCAGGAACCATGTCCCTCTGGTGCACTGGCAAATCCCTGCCACCTCCAACGACACCTGTCACATAGAGATGTTCATCATGCCGGGGAGGTGTGTCACTGCTTCCCTGGGGAGTCCCACGCTGAAGCTTGAGAACAAGTCTCCTGTTCAAGCCATGCTCTTGATGTAAAATTCTGGGTTCTTGAAGACTCGTGTTTCTTTCTTAAATAAAGTTGGAGATTCTTAGGACACGGCTGAGCGTGTCCTACAAGATAGACGGTCCATGGTACACTATTCGTTTTGAAAGAGTTGCCCGTAGCCGGCAGTGCAGAATCCAACTCCAACGGTTCAGTAGCTGGCCCTTCTCAAACGCACTGGAGACAGTTGAACACTTAGATTTAGTTCAAAAGACATGCAGCCCATTTACTTCTTTGTCTTCTCATTTATATTCCCAAATTAAGAGAGACTGTCAAGAGAACTATGTGCTGAGACCACGCAGGCTAGGCTCCGAGCACCTTCCCAATGTCCTGTTCAGTGTCACCCTGCAGGCTGCCGCGAGGGGCCTTCCAGGCGAGGCCCTGGGAAAGCCTCCAGCACATTTCCTCCAGGGTCGCATCCTCGCCTTTCCGTGTCTTCTCTAGGAAGGTCCCAGCAGACATTTCTTTTAGACCTGGCCGGCAGGCATCGTTGCCTGTTCAGTCCTAAGAACTGGTACTTTGTTTTCATAGACACTGCGCTGATTCATTCCTCCCTTCTTTGGCTATTAACCCAGTTCCATCCAGTCCATTCCAACTCAGTGGCCATATTGGACAGAAAAGGACACCAGAGGATGTCTGAGCTGTAAAATCTTTACAGAAGCCGACTACCTGCCTGCCTCATCTTTCTTCTGTGGAGCAGCTGCTGGTGTGGACAGCCAGCTTCCTGGTCAGCAGCCCAGCGTTTAACCCGTGGGGCCACCAGGGTGCCTTTGGCCACTAGAGAGCTCAAAGCCAAATTCGCTGCTTCCCTTTCGTATGCTGTAGCTGTATTTCTCATGTCCCTTGCCTCTTCCTCCTCCTCCTCCTCCTCCTCCTCACTCCCCTGTCCTGTCTGCCTTTTCTACCTCTCTGCTGGGTTGCAGTCTGAAAACTTGCCGAAGTCCTGGACATGTGCGTGCGTATGTGTGCATCAAAGCCACAGCAGAGGCTCAAGCATGCTCACGATCATAAAGGTGGCTCAGGGCTGGACATCATTTCCCTCTGTTACATGTCAGGTCATCATGAGTTGGGGCCAGTTCACTAGCCCCTAGCTAAACCATAATACACACACACAACATCTATTTAATTTCAGAAGCTACGGAAGCAAAACCAATCACTGTAAGCATGATAGCAGCTGTGCTTATTTTCTTAAAAACACAGCGACTTCTTTCTCTCAAGTGAAATACTCTAGATCTCCCTGGAGTATTTTACGTGTTTGTAGATATTTTCCTAATGATACACTCAGTAAAATATTTTAAAATCACATAATTTTAGTTGCTGTATAATAACCTATATAACCGTAGATTTAAATATGTCCCAATACTTTACTTTTTAGTTCCAGGAGTAGTAGTAATAATATAGTGGCATCCATTAATAATACAAGAAAATTGCTGAGATTTCAGTGCCTATGAAAGAATAGAGCACAGCACTAGACACATCTTTCAAAAAGAATTATCCGAAATAGTATCCCCAACGGTCAGGCTTTTATGCCTATAACAAATGAGGGCCTATCAGAAATGCAACTGGATGTGCTACAGAACACAGACAGATGAGCAGCTGTCTCTCTCGCCACTGCCTTCATTTTGTTTCCGCGTACACAGAGGGTGAGGTGCGCTAGATTAACATGTAGAGTGAATCCCTCCAGATTCTCACCCATCTCATTGGAACTTGCTTCGCTTTGCCTTCATCCTCGGTGATCTTAAAAAAAAAAAAAAAAAAATCGTCGAGCACTCTAGATAACTGTTGGCAGCAGAAGTACAGAAGGTTCTGAGTAATTTACATTTAATTGCCTGGAATATAAATGCTAGAGCATCCTCAGTTAAAAATACCCTAGCCACTCAGAAAGTAGAACGCACTCCTTTCAAGCTTAAGAGGATAAACATCCCTGAAGTTTCCTCCGAGTTCATGGTTAAAATGTACTTGGCCACCCCTCTGCTGTGGACTGGAACATCCTTGTGAAGTCTCTCCATTCAACCGAGCGGTCCACATGGAGCTGGCCCTGCTTGATGCAGTGTGATGACTTCCCTTTGTTTCGGCCATGATGTCAGCACTTTGTGCCACTATATGTGATGTAGTGGTATAATGCATGGAAATAGAGACCAGTACTTTTGATGTATTCTGTACAGATGTTACTGCTAGGAGAAAACACTACTGGACCTGCCCATGGGGCATCCACACATGTACTTTAAGGGCGGTTTATTCAGTTTGCAGGAGCATTTTTTACTAAAGTCAGAATGGAGAAGCGTGACTGTTCTGAGCTTCCGACTGTCAGCACTAAGGTGGCTGTCTTATCTTCGTGAGCAATGAGAGCAGCACCCATAACCGACAGAGGACTAGGGATTTCTGAAATGAAGTTGTAAGTTGATGGAACTAAAACCAAGCTGACTGCCATTGAGTGGATTCTGACTCATAGCAACCCTTATAGGACAGAAAAGAGCTGCCCCTGTGATTTTCTAAGACTGTAACGCTTTACAAGAATAGGAAGCCTCTCTTTCTCCCAAGGGGCAGTTGGTGGTTTTGAACTGCTGGCTTTGCAATTAACAACCCACTGCACAGCAGACGCTCCTTGTAAGTTGATGGAAATACATGATTTCATATTAGATTTAGACACTTTCAGGTTTGTTTGTTTTTTATTAATCATTTTATTGGGGAGCTCTTACAAATCTTATAATCCATAATTCAACTGCATTAAGCATACTTATACATATGTTGCCATCACCATTTCCAAAACATTTTCTTTCTACTTGAGCCCTTGGTATCAGCTCCTCTTTTTCCCCCTCCTCCCTCCCACCCTCGTGAATCCTTGATCAATTATATTTTATTATTGTTACTTCGTATCTTATACCACCCATTGTCTCCCTTCACCCACATTTCTATTATTCCTCCTCCTTGGGGCTGAGGTTGTATATCCAACCTTGTGATCAGTTTGTCCCCCACCCCCACCCCTATCATGGTATCGCAGTGCCTACTGGTTTCATTTTTTTAAACTTGTTTTATTTTAATTTTATTATATTAATAATTTTATTGGGGGGCTCGTACAACTCTTATCACAATCCATTGTGATACATATATCCATTGTGTCAAGCACATTTGTACATTTGTTGCCATCATCATTCTCAAAACATCTGCTTTCTACTTGAGGTCTTGGTATCAGCTCATTTTTTTTCTCCTCCCTCCCCGCTCTCCCCTTCCTCATGAACCCTTGATAATTTATAAATTATTATTTTGTCATAGCTTACATTGTCTGTCATCTCCCTTCACCCACTTTTCTGTTGTCCATCTCCCAGGGAGGATGTTATATGATAGGAACTGGAAACAAAGGGAGAGTGGGGTAGAAAGAGAGAACCGGTTTCATTATTTCTTAACGCAAAAACTAGATGGACCTCTAACTGTGATTTTTGGCTTAATTACCTCCCTAAAACTGAAACCCAGATGCACTGTGAGTGCATCCATTCTGCTCAGCTGCCTGACACGGCAGGGAGAACGGCCCGTGGAGTTCTGGGACTGTCACTCTTTAGCGGAGTCGGAAGCCTGGTCGTCTTGTCCTCTTGCCAAGCAGCTGGTCGTTTCCCACTGCTGACCTTGCTGTTAGTAGCCCAACATGTAACCCCTATGCCACCAGGGCTCCTCCGGTACCTCCCTAGGGGAAG